AAGGTGAAACACAGAGACTTAAGATTTTATTTTAGTCTTGGGTCTTAGAATTTGAACAGCATTTGGCAGAATAGGTAACAATATTTCTAAAGGAGAGTTTTGTTTAAATTATAGTGAGGTAGATCAGTGAGATAAGTTGGAATGAACTTAAAGTCTAATAACGTATGTAATAGACTCTAAACTAATAGTTTGTAACTGAATTACAGACAGTTGCCCACACATTTTAATTTGTTCATCGTGATAAGAGATCCTCGATAAGTGATCAATTCTGATGGTCATTTTAGAGAGTCTCTGCTGAGCCATACATTTGTGGTAAGGATTGTCATGATCCCTTAGGTTATGGGTTTACTTAGTGGGTACAAAAATGTAAAGATTATTACCTTATACTAGTGGTGTACTTCTCTGTGGTCCTTTTCAATTTACAAGGGACTTTGATATGTACTGTCTCACTCCAGTACCATTCAGATGGCAAATGGCTTGTTAAAGTTCTCAGAAATAGTGAGATACAGGCCTCAAGATCTCTTAATTCTGAAGGCATTTGTCCTTATAATAGGCGAGTCTTGGCCAAAGGAAAAAATCTACTTTACCTAATGTTTTATAACTTTTATGCCATTACTGTTCCTTATACCACATAAAGATGGAGGCAATGTTTTAAAAAAAAAAATCCACTAGAATTAAAATTGGGTTTAGAACATATTTAATCTCAGGGTTTTTTGTTTTGTTTTTTGTTTTTTAATTTTATGAAAGAAAACCTTCCCCCTGCAACCAATTATTTTAGTCCCAGGGCTGGGAAACTTTGCTTGTAAAAGGCCTGATAGTAACTATTAGGGTTTGCAGGCCATATGGTCTCTATTACAACTATTCAACTTTGCTGTTTTAGTGTGAAAGCTGTCATAGATGATATGACAATGAATGAGTATGCTTGAGTTCCAATACAACTGTACTTATGGATACTGAAATTTGAATTTCATGTAATTTCCCTGGACCACAAAATAGTATTTTTTTGAATTTTTTTCAATTATTTTAAAAGGTAGAAACCATTTTTAGGCCACGGACCATATCAAAGCAGGGGGCAGGCTGGACTTGGCCTGAAGACCTTAGTTTGTGACCCCCTGTTTTAGATAGGGAGGAAAGAGGGCCGTTATCTCCTAGCTGCAATAGGGCAGGAGGAAGAAGGAGGAGCAGTGGTCTGAGGCACTTCAGCTGATGATTCTGTGGTTAAGACTGAGGTGGCTGGTTCCTTCCCAAAGTGCCTTTTTGTCTTGACATTTTCTACTCATTTAAGTGACAACTCGATGATTTTGCTTCATTTCCATATCTCCTAGTGAGAAATCTTAATGACTAGTGATCATGTGGTTTAAACAAATTACAGGGAGACATTCAGTGTGGACAGAGAGGCAGTTTGATTTGTTCTCTAATTGTTTTCCTGTGTGTAAATCACGGCCTGTAGTTTGTCCCCAGGTGAGGTCAAGCTCTATGTCAACTGGTGTATGTCCCTTACAGTTTCTAGCCTAGAGCTAAATGGCCAACATTTATGAAATTACATCCTTGTTATTAATTGGTGGGGAGATGACTAGAAATCCTGTTCCCACTATACTGGTTTTCAGAGGGACTAAAGTCACTCTTTAGATAGTAATAAATACATACTAGTAGGTCCATGAACATACATGCTGACTGTCTCAGATGATAGCTTTCTAGCTGGCATTCGGTCACCAAATAGCATCCAGAAATCCAGATTTGGACTTATTTCTCTGTTTCTTCTTTTTTAAAAAAAATATGGAATGCTTCACAGCTTTGCATGTCACCGTACTCAGGGGCCATGTTAGTCTTCTCTGTATCGTTCCAAGTTTGAAGTCAGTCACAGAAATTGAACTTCTTTAAAGCTCTTTCATCATCCTGCTATAACAAATCCCTGCCCAGGAGACTGCCGGGAGCTTTCCCTTCCAACACAGTTCAGCCCACCATGAGAACAGTCTCTCTCAGAGAACTGCTGGTGCTTTGCTGTTGGAAACTGGGAGGTACAGGACCAATTTAAATATTCAGAGCCTCAGACGTTTGGTTCTCCCTTAGTCATTTCAAAGGGGCAGTTCCCTTGGCTTGCCTGTGCTCACAAGGCGGAGTTACTTGAACATTAACTCTAGATTGCCCCCTTCCTGTTGTTTTTAGTCTTATTTTAGCTTTCCGGTTTTACCTTTCCCAGCCTGAGTCAATAGAGGTGGGTGTGGCCATAAACTCGGGATACTGGATTCTAAAGGTGGGTTGAGCTCTTGCCTTCACCCTCCTACCCTCATGACGGGCTGGACAAGCTTGCAGCCATCCATATACAAACCAGTGATAGGCAAGGCACAGGAGAAGCAAAACGTCCCTTTTGGAGAAATTTGTTTAGGCTTCTGAGGTTTGCGTACAAACCCAAGCGTTAGTAAAATCCTGTTTTCTACAGTGAAAAACTAATGTTTCTAAGTAAAAAACTCCATGTTGCCTAAGTAAGTGAGATCGTGACGGACCAAAATAGAATGCTAAAAAATGAAACAAAACAAAATAAACGGTTTTGGTTTAGCAAAGGAACACTTTTAAGTCAGTAAAATAAAATAAAAAATTCAGATGTTAACGCTAAAATTATAGGATTAGTTAAATCCAGAGAGGTTATAACTGAATACCCTATATACTTCTTAATTTACAAGTTTCAATAATGCATTTAAATTGCTATTTTCACCAACATTATTCATTAATATATATTAATTTTTTTTTCAGAAAATATAGCTATTAGTAAAACAGAGACAGACACTTTTTTTTTAAAGATTTTATTTATTTGACAGAGAGAGAGACAGCCAGAGAGAGAACACAAGCAGGGGGAGTGGGAGAGGGAGAAGCAGGCTTCCCGCCGAGCAGGGAGCCTGATGCGGGGCTCGATCCTAGGACCCCGGGATCATGACCTGAGCCGAAGGCAGACGCTTCATGACTGAGCCACCCAGGCGCCCCGACAGACACATTTTTTAAAATGTTGAAATTCCTTAGTTATTTATGTGAGGGACTCATGCTATATATATAGAGAGAGAGAGACAGAGACAGAGAGACAGAGAGAGTCCCCTTCAACTCAGTTTATTCTTCTTGTTTTTTTTTTTCCATTCAAAACTGGTATATCAAATCCCTATTATTTTAATGAACTAGTAAGGAGAACTGTAAAAATAATTACTTTTTATATAAATAAATAGGCTAAATCTTGATTAAATCCATCCAGGGTAGTCAGCGTTGATGGCAAAATAATGGGAATTGCTGATAACTCTCCAGTCTCTATTAATTATGTTAATTACTGTTTGGATGGGGATGTGAAACTGGTTCATTACAGGTCAACTCTGATAAATTTTTATCTACTAGGCTTTGCTGCAGTCCCCAGAAAAGAATACTGTGTCTTACTGGTGTTAATCAGGGATAGAGAAGTGGGAGCACTTCTCCTACTTGCGATTTTCTTTGATCATGTTGAAGTAGCTCTGTCCACAGGTATAACTCACCTGGGGGTAGTAGCTTTTCTCAGCTGCCTCACTCCTTCCCTCCCTAAGAGAAGTGATTTAATCTGACTGGTGAGTATAGGAGAAGAGAGAGCTGGCTCCTCCTTCCCCCTTTCTTCTGGGAGTGGGCTTCCACCAAGAAGCTGGCATCTTCCATACTTTTAGAAGGGAATGCACTTTATCTGCAGGAGGAGGCTGACCCCACTTAGATGCTATTTGGACTTGATAGGTCTGTCTAATACTGGAAAACATAATTATGAAGCTTGCTATTCCACAGGTATAAACTCTGTTCTCTGTATTAGCTTTAGGATTATACAGGCGCTATTTTGATTAGTCATCTCCCTTATTCTTTTGTTTCATTTTCCAACTGGCTTAGAAATCAGGCTGGAAAGAAAAGTATTTATAACCCTGCCCCCTTGGGCCTCCAACAGAACTGTGTGTCAGAAGTTCGCTAGTATAGACTCATCCCAATAATTTTCTTGAAATTGTAGTTTGGTTTTGTTTCAGAATTGCTTTTTTAGACCCATATAAAGACTGTTTTTAAGAACAACTATTAGCAGGCACCTGGGTGGCTCAGTCGGTTAAGCGACTGCCTTCGGCTCAGGTCATGATCCTGGAGTCCCGGGATCGAGTCCCGCATCGAGTCCCGCATCGGGCTCCCTGCTCGGCGGGGGGTCTGCTTCTCCCTCTGACCCTCTTCCCTCTCACGCTCTCTGTTTCTCATTTTCTCTCTCGCAAATAAATAAAATCTTAAAAAAAAAAAAAAGAACAACTATTAGCTTTTCTAGAATGGCTTATGATAATTTACATTTCTTTTTATGTACAAAGGGCTAGATGAATACTTAATGCTTTAGAATAAGAAGGTGGTCTGCATATTATGCTGGTTCCCTTCCTAATGGTCTATCAGCGGCTAAGCTCAGCTCATATGGACATCTTGCTTCAAAAGTATATAACCAGACGTAGGAGAATTGCTTTCCTGTCTTTTAGTCACCATATTAAAATAGGGGAGGGAAATTATTGTTAAACATGCCTCCCTTTCAAGACTCTCATAGGATTTTCTGACCACCATTCAGACCTGAGGGATAAGTTGCCTAAAGGACTTATTTAAGGCAACAGCAACAACAATAAAAAGAGTCCTCTGTGATGACCAACCTAAGATGTTTACTAAGTCCTGGAAAACTGGGGTGTTACCTGGGGCATAAGACTTCCATTGCCAAGATGAGGAACATCCATGGTAAACCAGGACAAGCTGGTTAGCTTGCAAGACCTACCTAGCACTTGGGCTGTTCTATCCAGCTGTGCCGTTTACTTCAACTGTGAGCTTGCTCTTTGCATTGGCCATGACATAACAAACGGTCACCCCTGAAGTACCTGCTTACTGAGGCCCGGTGCCAATAAAGCTGACGGCATAACATGTATGCCCAGTTTTGACGGTAGGGACCACACTCCTACTTCTTCCTTTTCTTTAACTCATTTCTACTTTCTGCTTTACAGGTCTGTGATTCAGACACCATGCTTGACCCTGCCTCATCTGTGGAGATGGTGAAAGTTTTAGAAGAAGACCCTATGGTCGGAGGTGTCGGGGGAGATGTCCAGGTGCATACGGCTTCACTTTCCGCACGAGTCACCTTTAGTTATACTTTTACTCATTGATTCATTGAACATATGTTCACTACACACCAAACTCTCTGCCAGATGTTCCTTTGGTGCTAGAGACACGTTAGTATGTGCCTTGGACCCACTTTATTGACTCTTTTCTTTCCTACATTGAAAAAAAAAAAAACAACACAGGATTTTTTTGCTTAACCCTGTGATGTAACCCTTGTCTGTTGGGCCTGAGAAGTTATATATAATTAAGTTAAATATGTAATGATTTCTACCATATCTTCTTGAACTTGATGTTCTGGTAAAATCTAATGTTGGAGTTCATTTAGTTGCAAAGGTAAAAAAATGGAAGAAGGGCTGGGGATGGATTCTATATTTATACCTTTGTATTTAAAAGCTGATTAATACATGGTTGACTAAAAATCCAAATTGGAATACAAAGGAAGAAAAGAGAAATAGGAACTCAAATTTATACTGGTAAGAAAGGCAAAGGAACAATTAATTAATAAGTGGGTTTTCTGATTATGATCTATTTCCCACCAATAATTACTTATTTCCCATTATTTGCTCTAAATGAAGAAACAGTTAATGATGTAAATATTAATAAAGGCAACTTGGAATCTGTGGGATGGGAAATGAATATATACGTGAATATGTGAAAATATGTGAAGATTAAAATGAATGCTTTGCAAACACGTGATCAAATTTTAGCAAAAGGTGAGAAGCCCATGGAAACTTGACTTTAAAAATTAGGTACTGTGTTGCTATATAACCCGTTTTATACATGCATGGTGATAGTGAAGGCAAAGACAATGCCTGGAATAGACAAACAGCCTGGTGATAAAAGAGGAAGCATGCAAAATCCAGATGAGAACCGTGCAAAATTGAGATGGAGGAAAGAATTTAGAAATATTGCCAAGAAAAAGCTGATAACTTTCAGTAGCCTTTACATAGAGCATTATTTTTCAGGACTTAAGTTTTGGGAAGAGGCCAGAACAAACAATTTAATCACTGGCATTGCATAAAAGAGGGAAAGAAGGAGAAAGAAAATTAATGGAATTGAATGAGTTGGAAATTAGCCAGAACAGGAGACGATAGGGCTTAAAAACCTTCAAATTTTAGATGGGAGGAAAGAGTGGGAGGATTTAGGATCTGCGAACTAGAGCCTAAAAACACGTTCAATATTATAGCATAACAACAAGGAGAACAACAACAAAAAAAGCCCTGGACAAGAAAGAGGACAGAGCCATGAAGTAGAAAAACTGTTGCTCCTCAAGGAGTCCCAAGGCAGGTCCACAATTTATCAGATTAATCTAGTAACACAGAATCAGAGAAAATAAAATATAACCGTGTCAAAAAGAAGAAGGACGCTAACATAGGAAGATCAAACAACAAACCTCACTCTAGGTAGTAACCTCACGATGGTGCAGATTTTGTTGGTATTTTAGCTGCGGCTTATGTTTTATTTATTCGTGTTTTTTTTGTTTTTTTGTTTTTTTTCCCCCTTCTTGCAGATTTTGAACAAGTATGATTCCTGGATCTCCTTCCTCAGCAGTGTGAGATACTGGATGGCTTTTAACATAGAAAGGGCCTGCCAGTCTTACTTTGGGTGTGTCCAGTGCATTAGTGGACCTCTGGGGATGTACAGAAACTCCTTGCTGCATGAGTTTGTGGAAGACTGGTACAATCAGGAATTTATGGGCAGCCAATGTAGTTTTGGTGATGACCGGCATCTAACGAACCGAGTGCTGAGTCTGGGCTATGCAACAAAATACACAGCTCGATCCAAGTGCCTTACGGAGACACCGATAGAGTATCTCAGATGGTTAAACCAGCAGACCCGCTGGAGCAAGTCATACTTCCGAGAGTGGCTGTATAATGCGATGTGGTTTCATAAACATCACTTGTGGATGACCTATGAGGCCGTTATCACTGGATTCTTCCCTTTCTTTCTCATTGCCACGGTAATCCAGCTCTTCTACCGGGGTAAAATCTGGAATATCCTCCTCTTCTTGTTAACTGTCCAGTTAGTAGGTCTCATAAAATCGTCCTTTGCCAGCTGCCTTAGAGGAAACATCGTCATGGTCTTCATGTCCCTCTACTCAGTGTTATACATGTCAAGTTTACTTCCCGCCAAGATGTTTGCAATCGCAACGATAAATAAAGCTGGGTGGGGCACGTCTGGAAGGAAGACCATTGTGGTCAATTTCATAGGACTCATTCCAGTATCGGTTTGGTTTACAATCCTCCTGGGGGGTGTGATTTTCACCATTTATAAGGAATCTAAAAAGCCATTCTCGGAATCCAAGCAGACAGTTCTCATTGTTGGAACGTTGCTCTACGCATTCTATTGGGTCATGCTTTTGACGCTGTATGTGGTTCTCATCAATAAATGTGGCAGGAGGAAGAAGGGACAACAGTATGACATGGTGCTCGATGTATGATCTCACGTTGTTTGACGTTTGCAGTCACACACGCAGACACACACAAAACCTTAGTTCCTCTCGGGACTGTACAGTCTTGTGGCATCCCATAATGCCACCAAAGGAGACCTATCACTGCTGCTGGGACTTGAACAAAGACGTTTCTATGGGTTTATTTTGATTCTGCCAAAGTAAAACAAGACATCAGTGAGAAGAAACTCAGATTTAACCTGTTATTTCTATGAAAATGGGAAGCATTCTGTTTATGCACTTTTTCCTTAATGTACATCTGCCTAACAGTGTTTGCCCTATATACCTCACTAGCCATGCTTTATGTGGGTTATCATGGAAGAAAAGGATTTTGGAAACTCAAGGAAAAGTTCTTTCAACGTATTCAACCTAACTTATGGACTGTGTTGATAGCTAATTTTTTTTTTTTTTTTTTTTTTTAGAAAGGAGTTTCTGTTTAACTCTACCAAATGAAATGCCAAAGGAAATTTCAAAGGCCGTTGGCTGTGCTGTATTTTTATATAATTGTACTGTGTTTTAAAATTTTGTATGCCAATTTTTAAAACAAATTTTGCATATTCTATATTTTACTTCTCTGCCAAAATACACCTGTTCTTTTTTATTATTATTAAAATAGGTTCTGAAAAAAATTCATACTTAAAAAAAAATCTACCCAAAATGTGAAGCTTGGTTAACTGATGTTGTTCATGATAGAAGGAATAAAATGTTTCTCTCTCTTCCTACCTTTAAACATGGAATAGTTTATTTCTGTGAAAAGTATTTAAACTTTCAATATTTTAACTTTTTTTTTCATTTCTTTTAGAAAAGGCCAATATACCTGTCACACTTTGGGAGTAGAAATACATACTTATGTGCACACACACACACACAAAGGAAGTCATTGGAAATCAAGGCCAAAGGGGTAGAAAAGTGCAATTTTCCATAAGATTAAAAAAAAAGGGGGGGGTGGGGGAGTGCTAGTCCTTGAAAGAAAACACTGGGCAAATGTGGAGATTCTGGCAGTGTTTTCTCACGCTGAGTAAAATGGAAAGTGGAAAAAAAATCATCTGTGTTATTTGGACAAATACAATGCAGTTCATCGTTTTGTTCTGTGGCCTGAATTCACCAGATCCTGTCAACATTGAACATAACTGACCTGTCTTTTTTTTCAGCTTGCCAGTTCACTTTCCATGTTACTAGGAGGCTTACACGGGTGAGTTGGATACAATTGAGTAAGTGTAAAAGCCTATAGATACAAAACTGGCACATTCGAGCTTGTCTTCTACTTCCCAGGGAGGATATTTTTTCTGGATTCATACAGATAATCGCTCCATCTGTCCTGTTATTGGCCTACATAGATATGTTTACGTAGTCAGAATAATACCAAGGTTTAATAAGTGTATCAAGAATTGGCACATGAGAAAAATTGATGAACCAGGTACCCTTAACCCGGCTAATTTCACTACTCGAAGGGCCTCAGTTATCCAGTTTGACTTTTGACATGACCCATCTTGCCTTGTAGCTGGTGCTGTGTAGACTTGTGTTAAAAACAATCAAACACATGAGTCGTTGCATAAAGCATGTTGTGATGAAGTGGAGTATGAATGTGGAGAAGTGTTCAGCCATGTGCTTCTACCATTCTGCTTCCTCGCCATGCAGATGCCCATGTTCCATCTATCCTGCCTAAGAAAAAGCTGCACATTCTACCTTCGGAGTACAAAAAGGTACACACCATTCTGCAACTCAGACTCACTGTTGGGAGAGTTTGCGGGAAACAGAGCACAGCATGCCAGTAAATGAAACTAAAACTTGAGTTTGCCTTTTTAACTATTTATGTTCTAAGTTAAGCTTTGATAACTTTCAAATGTCAAATTCTCTCATTCTTTTAAAAGATTGAATTAATTGCCTGTATTTATTTTAGCAATTATTCAATGTATTTCCAGTATAGGATGTATAGTATAATTTGATTTTTTTGTAAATAAAGTATTTTTGATAAGAGCCTTGCCTTTTTTTCTAAGGGAAGGGGGCATTTCAAACAAAACAAAAACTTTGTTTTTCTAATTATAATGGAATAGATTTAAGAATGGGGTATGCGGAAAATAAACAAACATGCTTGGTCAAAGATAATAGAAGTCACTTAATGTTACTAATCATGAAGCAGAAATCCCCCAGATTGGTGTGGTTTGGAAATCTGGAAAACAGGAGAGAGAGAGAGAGACCCAATTAATATAACGCTTGTCTTTAATCTTACCTTCTACTTCCCTTGGAAGCAGCCCAAATTTAGACAAATTGTTTTATTATAGTAATTCATCATAGTAGGGAATAAACATTTCCAGAAAAGTCATAAGCAAGTTTGTTTAATTAATTATAATATCTACAAATAATAGCAACATCTTAAAGTAACTTCAAATCCAATAGAGAGCAATAATTAAATGAATTACGGTATTTCCAAACAATGGAACATTATTACCCATTAAAATATTCTCAGAAGATATGTGAAATTGGACAAATGTTACATTAAGAATATATAACCATTTTGTACAGTAACCTCCCAATTTTGTAAAAAATACAAATGTTTAAATGTGGTTATCTCTACTCCTGGGAATATCACCGATTTCTATGCTGTATACATATTTGTATTTTCCAAATACCATGATCCTGTATTGTTTTTATAATCAGAAAAAGGACAATAAATATTGCTTTTTTTTAAAAAAGTGGGTTGGGGCATCTAATAGCATTTCCTGTTTTCAGGAGCTTTGATGGTAATCCAATTTGCCACTGATCCCTCAAATTCATCTTATTTCCCGATTTTCTTTTTATTATCCTAAGAATCACTCTTTACTTTGGTACAGTTAAATTATATATATATATATATAAACAGTATAGCCACTGAACATTATTGCCACTCTAGTGATGGTTCTAATCCCAATAATTGATAAAGTCACTTGATGCTATTTAAAAGGTTGGTCAACTTCATGTAAAGGGCCAGTGAGTGTATGCTGTAGGCTTTCCTGGCCACGTGGTCAGTCCTGGGACTACTCACTCTGCTCTTACAGCACAAAAGCATCCACAGGCATTATACCAACAAACGTGTGTGCCCATGTTCCGATAACCCTTTACAGACATCGAAATTTGAATTTGTAATTTTCATGCATTATGAAATCATTTCATATTTTTTTAATCATTCAAATATCTTAAAACCATTCCCAGTTTATCAGCATTACTCAAACAGGCAATGAGCCAGGTTTGGCCGGCAGGCCATGGTTTAATGGCCCTTGCTCTTTAGGAATCTACTGACTCATTTGTACCATTAAATACTTAACCCAACACCTAATTTTTGAGCACATACCAGGTGTCAGGGACTGCCAGGAGCACACTGTATAGACTGGCTATTTTAATTCTCCTATCAGTCCGAAGAAGGGGTTCCACTATTATTGCTATTTTACGGGTGAGGAATCAGAGGCTTAAAGAGAGTTGGTACCTTGAGATCATAAAGCTGGTAAATTGTGATGGTGGAACTTAGGGGCAGGCATTCTGATGTCAGACTTACCCTTTAAACAGGTAAATAGTCGGGCGCCTGGGTGGCTCAGTTGGTTAAGTGACTGCCTTCGGCTCAGGTCATGATCCTGGAGTCCCGGGATCGAGTCCCGCATCGGGCTCCCTGCTCAGCAGGGAGTCTGCTTCTCCCTCTGACCCTCTTCCCTCTCATGCTCTCTGTCTCTCATTCTCTCTCTCGCAAATAAATAAAATCTTTAAAAAACAAAACAAACAAACAAACAAAAACAAAAAAAAAACCAGGTAAATAGTCTGTGCCATCCATGGTCCAACAGTGCCAGCAGGAGCTGGCCATTTGTTAGAAATGCAAATGCATGGCCCTGCTCCAGACCCGCTGAATCAAAATCTCAGGCTGGCCCCCAGAACCTGTTTAATAAGATCCCCAGAGGACTTCCTCACATTGAATCTGAGGAGCATTGCTCTAATCTAGTATCTTCTGTTTTCCTCAGACGAAGTATCGTCTCTGTGATAACTGTCCACTCAAATATTTGCATTTTCTTTTTTATTTATTTATTTATTTATTTATTTATTTATTTATTTGACAGAGAAAGACACAGCGAGAGAGGGAACACAAATGGGGAGTGGGAGAGGGAGAAGCAGACTCCCTGCCGAGCACGGAGCCCGATGCGGGACTCGATCCCGGGACTCCAGGATCATGACCTGAGCCGAAGGCAGTCGCTTAACCAACTGTGCCACCCAGGCGCCCTATTTGCATTTTCTTTTTGAGCTATTCAAATATGGATGTTGACAGACACCTGGTTTTAACGAAGCTTACTGAACACCTGTCATGAGTAAGAAATCAAAAGGCAGACTCAAAGAGCTTATAATTGAGTAAGAGGGATATGATAATTACACAAACATTTGGTGCAAAATGGAATAATAAAGGTGTGAAGAATGGCATGGGAATATAAAAAGAAGGAATGAAGTGGACGATTAGCTCTGTTAAGATAGGTTTCAAGATAGTGTGGCATTGAGGTGATTCTTTAAGGATTCTTTAAGATTTGTGGGGACTCAGGACTTTCCAGATGAAAAAAATATGGGTAAAGTAATAAAGGTGTGATTTTGGTATATGTTCCTTTCCACAGAATTAACAAGTTTAATTAAGGTGGGGGCTGTATTTAACCAAGAGGGCAGACTAAGCTATAGAAAGTATCTTTGAGGGGCGCCTGGCTGGCTCAGTTGGTAGAGCATGTGACTCTTGATCTTGGGGTTGTAAGTTCGAGCCCTACATTGGGTATAGTGATTGCTTAAAAATAAAATCTTAAAAAAAAAGAAAGTACACTTGAAGGTAGATCACAGAAGACCATAATCCAACTGGGAGAAATACTAGAATGAGAGGTTTCAATTTGATAGGGCACAGGATGTGCAGATAATTTTGAATGGGGTGCTAACAATATCGCAAACCAAACTACATGATGGAGGTTTGGATTTGAGTGTCCCACATAAACAAGTATGATTTGGTTCAAGTGTGCTCATAATAAGCTGGTATTGTTCTTCCAGGCACTTGACTACTTTCATTCCATTCCCTCCAGATCTCCCTCCAGTTACCCAAACACCATCTTTAGCTTCTTTTATATGCCTTGCAACCAGCTGGTCACAACTGTTTGATTCCCTGCTTGCTGTGTCACTCAAATTCCTCTCTTACCCTAGTTAAGACATTCTGTATCTCTTACTTGAACTGTTAAAGACACCTCCTAACTACCCCTTTTCCTCATTTCTGTTCCATCCAATGGATTCTCTACATTTCTGTCACAATTCTCCTTCTAAGACCTAACTCTGAATACAAAGGTTTAATTTCATCTCATTGTCAACAAGATAAAGGCATTAAATCTCTACAAGTGCCTTCAAGGCTAATAATTTTCTGTTTCTACCCTCTCTTGAAGGCCTTAATCTTACTATTTTTTTGCAGTCCTACTAAAATAGATTGCTTTGCTCCCTCTTGCACACACTTTGCCCTTTACTTTAGTCAGCTTTCTTTCAGGCAGAAATTCTCAGAAACCTCAACATGCTGATGATGTTTTATGAATCTGCAAGGAAGGGCCATCACATGCAGAAATTTCCACACTTAGATGACTAGGGTGTCTGTTCCACAGGGATGTTAGGTCACATCTGGACTAACATTGTTATCTTGCAGAATATAGTTTAGGTAACACTAGTATATAATTCCTGACACCACAAGTTGGATTTGTTTTCACTTAAATCTAGAAAAAACATGCAACACTTAAGCTCCTTATTTCTTGAGTAATCAGCTCCAGGTGCGGAGACCACAGGAATAAAGGGGAGGAGTCTTCAGGTTCATTTGACTCAGCCTTTGAGCCAAGAGACCGGCTCCTCTCCAGGGGTTCAGTTTGCCCATTTGCTGTCAGAAAGCTCTCCCCACTCTGGCTTCAGCAAACCCGGGTGACTTGTTTTAGCTCTGCTATTCAGGGCAACCAGGAGTTCAATTCTGATATGTCAGGGAAATGTTTGAAGAGTAGGTGAGACTAATGTTTGAAACAACTTGGCGTCGTATAGGGCACTGACTGAGAAGAAGCACAATGGCTTCATAAACTTCAGTTTATGGGAAGTTCAGTTTAAGGGAAGGTTGCCTTATATCTTGGACTGAGTTGGGTTGTCGAGTTGAAAAAGTCAAATACAATCATTTTTTTAACCAGGTCGGGAGAGGATTGTACACATTCTCTAAGAAAGAACGGAGGCAGGACACATCCCACTTTTTAAGACAACACGTGATGTGTCTCTTCCAGTAAAACACAAAGAACATTGATGAAAGTCTTAAGGAAATAAAAATGTTGGAAAAAGGATCTCTGGGATCAAAGTTGAAGGGCTGTTAAATGAAGCTATCAGTACCATCCCTGTACAAAGGAACTTTGAAGTTCATTGAGTCCAACTCAGCTGCCTCAAATCTTTGTTGAAATTGAGTCAGCACCTAAAGAAAGAGAGGGAGAGAGAAGGCTCCTTATCCCAAAGGAATCAACTGCAATCCAGTTGATTTTAGCACCGAGCTCAAGATTGTACAGCTGGCTACAAACCCTGAGGCTAGCATCTGGGTCTCTTCTATCCAGATGTTTTGGCCTGCTTTATAATGCAGAAAACCTCAAATTAGCAATTTCTGGGCAGCTACTCTCCTCTTAAATCTGACAGATTGAGGCTATGCTTCAATCCATTCCCCTCAAAGAGAGTTGTAAATTATAAGCTTTTCAGGTTTATGGGTCTTTGACATTTAGACTTTAAATAAAAAGCCACCCTGTGCTGTCTACAACAATACCTGAAATTTTCACTACCATGAAGAAATATCTTAACCTATCAAAAAAAGATCTTCTAAAGTTCTTTCCCTCAAACAAATCGTTGCCATACTACCCACTTTGGAAGTGCACAAGGCCAGAACAAGTTTGGATGTCTCACTTATTTTATATCTGGGCTTTGGTTGCAGATTGACTTAAACTGGAGAAAATTACCCCACTTCTTTGAGCCTTATTTTCCTCATCTGAATAATAATGGAGATGATACATTTCAAAGTTACTGTGCAATCAAGACAGCCTATGAACCGTCCCTAGGAAAGATATTTGCCACATAACAGAAATTTAATAAAATTTTCTTTTCTTTTCCCCTCCTTCCTAAGCAACTAACTTCATTTATGTTCCTTTCTTCTTCTTCTTCTTCTTCTTCTTCTTTTTTTTTCATTTGTTCCTTCCTTCTTAAAATTTCTTTCCATAGCAAACCACTGGACCAAAGGCTGGGACATTTAACTCAAATACCGAGGAATTTTACTTCTCAGAAATGCATTTTATCTTAACTTTTTTTTCCAGGTTCATAATGTATTGTGGGGACTATCACATGATGAGTGGACATTAGCTTCTCCAGGGATGGGAACTTAACAGCTTAAAACACATTTATGTTGCTTTCACAGCTAGTGTGTTTTTAGGCTGTAACTTGAAGTATAAGACCATCACAGCAAGACCTCCATATGTGGTCAGGACACAGTTCATTCTACCTGTGAGAGTATAGGAGTTAAATTTTTTTGGATACCAGTGAAATGAAACGGGGCAGCAGTTTCTGGACCTGCCATGATTTCAATCTTGCAAAAGGCGCCAATTCCACTGGTTGTGTCCTTCAGTGCACTTCAAAAATGCATTTTAAATCACCCATTTGGTGGCTTCTATCCAGCCTGAAGATTTTTTTTCCCAGGAATAAGGGGACTTCTTTTCCTTTAGACACAAAGCAGGTAAACTGTTATAATTGCCTAGTATGTTCTGACTTCGAGAAGAGCACTTAACTCAATACAATTTTGTGTCTGACAAAGTAAATATTCTGTAATGCCTAAAACATGGTAGGGGGACCAGTAGGAGGAGCATGGCATTGACATCCGATGGATTTGGGTTCTGGCCCTCCCGTGTTTTGGTTGACTCTTAGTGAAAACCCCAATTTCTTCATTTGTCAAAGTCTAAGAACTCTGCTACAAACCTCATAGGACTGCTGTCAGGCTCAATAAAAATAACAGAAGGGAAAGGCCACCGGAAATTCAGAAAAATTCTTCAGATTTGAATTCCTGCTATGAGTTCTGAGCATTAGGAGACGTTCATATTGGTTCCACGCAGAAGTCAGACTGGGGCCCTGAGTCCTAATGGACACTTTTTTTCATCCTTATTGTTACCGCCCCAGCCACATTGCTCCATCCACTCTTGCTCCTCTTTATTTTTCCATGGAACAGTCGGTGTGAGATCATGTCATTCGTCTGCTTAGAAGCCTTCAAGTGTCTTCTTCTCTTGGGCTACCATGCTCCACAAGGTTCTCCATATTTGCCTTTGTTTCCATGACCTTCATGGAACTCCTATCTTTCTTCCTTATTACACTACACACTTGCACTCTTTCTGCTCCTCAGCCAAGACAAGCTTGTTTCCACTTCAGGATCACTACCTGTTGCTATTTATTTGCCATGTAGGTCACCTCCTTATCTGACCATGCTCCCTAAAATGACATCCCCATTCCCAGTCACTTTCCAACACAGTATCCTGTGATTTTTCTCAACACATTTATCATTAATGGAAACGAAAATATTTATTTATTTGTTTACTTGATTGTTGTCTCTCTCGGCACCTAGAGTATCAATAAAACCCCTAGAGCAGGGGGATAGTCTAGATTTCAGAGCCTAGAACTATGCTTGATAGATTGAAAGTGCCCAGTGAATATTATTTGAATGCACACAGGTCTAAAATAATGGTGCTAACGGCTCAACTTCTGTAAATCTTGTACCTGCCTCCCAAAATCAAATTTTAAAAAGGGATTTTCCTCTTCTCTGTTATTCATTTCCACAAATCAAGAACTTACCCAAGTGAGACCCAAGGAAATACTTAAAACTGGGTGACTTGATTGTATATAGACTGTGGATCCAAAATTGTTTTTATCCATGTTTTAATCAATATTGCTTGAATGTGTATTAAGCACACAAACCAGGGTTTTACATTTTTTTACTGTCTTTGATAGCTGGCAACATTTTTTTGTGCATCTGGGTATCTGGAGAAGATAATTTTAAAAGAGGAAATACACAAATTCTGTGTGCATTGATGACCACAGCTATCACTTGCCTACTTTTCAGCTCCACCCAGGAAAAGTCCCACCCAGCATTGCCAAGAATCTAGGCACTGGATGGCAATTTGGAACCAGTAATAGTTTTCCACAAGTACATTTTTGGCAGAAGAAACAGCTAGAGATTAGAGAGTGTAAAGAGGGCTTAAAGCTTCCATTGACCTTCTGGGACCTCGACTGAAGCTGCTTATGTTGCTGTGACCCCCATTAGATGGCCACTTTCCAAACTGTTCAGAACATTACTTCTGGGCATGTAGAGCTGATATCTCACTGCATGGACAAAAGCCCAGGCTGGACAAGGTCCAGTTAAGAAAGCATCTCCATTGGAATGATACTATCTGGCAAGGGACGAATCCAGTGATGCCATAGGTATTATCTGTCTTTCCTTTCTATGCCTGAGTCATTTCCTCCATAGACCAGATAACAGGCAGTCTACAGAAATATAACTGGGTGAGAATCTGTATATAAACACTGAAATATTTCTTCAGAGTTGATCTAGTCCAGCTGAACTTCTGGAGTCAGACAGATATGGGCCCCAGCTATAACCTCATTCTCTTTCTACCATCATGAATGAGAACATATGGACCAGTTGTTTTGTTTTGTTTTTTTATTCTAAACCCACTGGTAAAATCATTTTTCCCCCTGTTTAAACTAAATTGACAGGTGTGAATGGTATAGTGGATGAAGGCTTAGATTTGGAGTAAAAATGGTAGATAATCATTTTAATTAAACTGATTCCTATTCATGACTAGTTCACCAGTCCTGATTAGTTTGCTCAAGCTTTCACATCATCCTGTAAGGCCCACGTGAAGTAACAACCTACTCTGTGGAGCTTTTGGATAGTCACTAAACAAGTCAGTAACTCCATCTTTTATTTATTTATTTATTTGTTTATGTATGTATGTATTTATTTTTAAAGATTTTATTTATTGAGAGAGATCACAGAGGCAGAGGGAGAGGGAGAAGCAGACTCGCCAATGAGCAGGGAGCCCAATGCGGGGCTTGATCCCAGGACCCTGAGACCATGACCGAGCCGAAGGCAGATGCCCAACCGACTGAGCCACCCAGGCGCCCCAGTGACTCCATCTTTTATTTCTAGATGGCACTTGTATTTTCCAGTAATAATACCCTTAATATACTGTATTTAACAATTTAAAAGTTTCTCTCTTCTTCTAACAGGCTGTGATATGCACAAGGAGGAGGGCTATGTCTTACTCATCTTTGCAAACATATCTTACCAACATGAAATGCTTATCTACGGAGGACTTTGCATTTGCTGATCAAGTGAGAAATAATTGATCAAGTGAGTGAATAAAAGTTATTTATCTTAGTTTAGCAAAAAATACAGAACCCTTAAGTCAATGACAAGTAAGTTTTGGTTGAGTGCTTGCCAAATGACAAGCAGTTTTGAATACATGATTTCATTAACACTAAACAAGCCTATAAATTAAATATTAATACCCCCCCTTTTTTTAGTGAGGAAGATGTCATGAAACACAGGGTTCAGGGAGTGAGTGCAAACTTCAAGACCTCAGAAGCAAAAAAGCATCTCATTTAAAACGAATTTGTTCACTATATGGCCAAATTTGTGTTTCACTGAACTTAATAGAAATCAAGCTAAGTGGCATTAACCCGAGATATTCCTCAGAATAGTGACAACTTATTCATCTTCCATAATAACCCCATTGTATAGATGAAGAAATTGGGACTCAGCAGTATAAAAAACTTTTTTAAAGTCTATGATGAGGCAGAATTAATTCAAAACAGATTTGCCTCCTTCAAGTCTGATGTTCTCTCCAATTTCTCATAACCTCCTTACAATTGTTTCTTTTTCTATAAATTCTAATAGCATTACATTAAATCATATCTCAATAAACACAATTTTTGCAGGGTGTTAAATAACGGAGTCCATTTATGTTATTCTGATTACCCAAAAAACAAAGATATCTGTTTATCTAACAATATGCAGCTTAGCGAATCTAAAAGAATCTAAAGAATCTAAGATTGGAGTGGTTAAAAGCACAGGTTTGGGTTAAAGGTGTGAATTAGAATCCTACTCTGCCATTCATAAGATGGGTGACCCTGGGTTAGGTTACATAGACTCAATGAGGCTACGTGTTCTCATTTTTAAATAATCCTTTTCTTGAATGCAATGGAACACGACTGGCTAATCAGAGCAGAGAAGGAATGTACTGGAGTTTCTAATGAGGAAAGACCAGAGAGCCAGGCAAAGAACACGGTAGAGACATAGTAGGTCTAGATAAGTAAAGGAGAATTCTCATCCTGATTCCTACTCTTTCCCATGCCCACTTCCCACAAGGAGTGAGCTTCAGCCCAGTTTCTGTCTTTGTTTAAATTCTCACAAGGGAGATTCTGATTGGTCCACAGGTCCATTGTGATAGGTCCCATGATTACTCTTCAGCTAAGATTGGGCAGAGCTCTTCATTAGTCATTGCCATCAATTCTGTACACAGTAGAGAGGGGGTCATTCTCTAAAAGGTAGCAGAAATCTTCTTACCAAAAAAACCCAGGAGTCCCCAAACACCAGACATCTATGGAACCCCTTCATAGGGTTATTGTGAAGATGGTGATGGAAAATCAGGAACTCAAAGGAGGGGAAGAGAAAGGCAGAGATCTTTGGTCTTAGAGCCACAGATTGCTTGATTAATACCAGTATTAATGAACGGGGTTTCATGATTTTAGACTCAATTTTAGATATTTTAAATTTTAAAAAGCCCTGTGAAATTGACTTATTACTATTATCATTAGTTGGGGAATCAGGAATTGTAAGAGCTTGACCTTGCCTGTTATGTTTCTATATTTATAATACTTCCTCTATGAGGTTAAAGAAGATCCTTTGTAAAAGGGAGATACTGAAATATCAATCAGAAACATAATTTCAGGTCAAAAGAAACATCGGACATAATCGGGTCCATCTTCATCAGAGAGAAAAGCTGAAGCTCAGAAGAGAAAAGGGACTGGCAAAGCGTATTTTGTAATTATAGGTTTTTATCAGTTGTATGGAGAACGGGGAACAAAAGGCCAAATGAATGAATGAGGTAACCTATAAAATCTTTTTTTTATACATGAGATTCTTGAAGTCAATGTGTGCCTGGCTGTTCTGTGGGCCTAAGTCATGATTTATACATCATGAAGATGAGCTGTATGTCAGGGGTCAGACCTCCAGAAGCAGTAGACAACCATTAACACTAAGCCAGTTCTCGGAATAAAAAGCCAAATGGCCTGGTCTACGAGCTGGGGAAAGGAAGTCGTGAGAGAGATGGAGATCTGGTCTGCGGGAGGGACTAACGCTCTCTGACTTACCTTCTGCGGACAGGGGCTTCATTTGTTCAGAGCTCACTGCTTAGACAAAGGAAGTTTCTTAAAGATGCCTAACCTTCTGTCTTTATTTTTGGAAAGAAAAAAAAAAAAGCCCAAATTATAAATAAATAAATAAATAAATAAATAAATAAATAAATAAATAAAGGTTCCATATGCCATTATTACAGCTTTTTGGAAGTTTAACAGAGAACATGGCATTCTGGAACACAGAAGTATCCTGAGCTCCCTGTAACAAAGAGGAAGGACCGTGGCAACCAGCCCCCATGACAAAGCTGTGCTCAAACTTTAGGCTTCCCTAGGGTTGGTGATGATGGTTTTCATTTAGGCCTGGTTGGGCCCCCCAGGTAGAAGACTTCGAGACTGGTTCTGAATCAACTCTGTCATGCAGTACTTGGGGTGCCAGATTTGAGATGAAAAAAAAAAAAAGGCAAAACAAAAAACATTCTCCAAGTCCAGAAAAGTTTGGCTCAAGCCTATGCATATGATAAAAAAAATAGCAAAGAGGAAAAAAGTGTGTGTTTGTTCTTATAAAATATGGAGTCAGTGCTTTTATGTATTATCAGACTTCAGTGTCAGACCTCAGTCACAGCTGTTGCTAAATGCATCTGAGAAAGAACTGGAAGGTGAGTACCCAGGGTGGGATTATGCGTATCTTTGCCTGACAAATCTGTGGATTTCAACAGCCCCGATAATTACAGGGCAGTGCACCCCAAGCACTGGCTCTGACAGAGAGACTGGGTTCCACATTCGGTGTAGTAACTTAAGCCACCCTGGGTGTCCAACCTCTGCTCTCAATCTACCCTCAGAACAGGCTGTCCTCAGGCTTTGTCTACTGAACCCAAGAGGGAAGGGAAGGAAAGGGGAATTTCTGTGCGCCTCTTAAAACTCCAGCCAAGTTCAGGCTTCAAAAGGCAAATGAGAGCTTCCCATATCCCTGCTCCTGACCTTTCCTGCAATTCAATCTCCAGGAGTTGAAGGGTTTTAAATCAGTGCGTCTCCATCCTGTTTGGAGGGTGTCATGGGAATCTCCAAACAAAGTCGTATTTCACTTTTACTCCATCCAGCCTGTGGGAATGTGGTGTGAGCCTTGATCAGCTGTGCCAGTCCCCAGCACTTAGGTTTGGATGGCACAGTGCCCGCTCTCTGGTGGTGGACAGCTTTAGTGATTAAATTCAATTTAGATGCGGAGTGTCGAGGTTTTGAATGCGAGCTGCAGAATCACATTGCCTCTGGTCAGATTTCCGCGCCACTACTTAAAAATGGCATCAGCTTTGTCTAGTCGGTTAAATCCCTAGTCTGTTTCTCCATCTAAAATAGAGAGATGAGAATAGCAAGCACTGGCTGAGTTCTTACTCTATGAAATATGTTCAAAGCACGATATGCTTCCAACTCATGTAATCTTCATAATATTCCTACAACGCAGGTATGCTTATCATCATTGTCACCCCTGGTTTATTGAGAATAACAGGGCACTGAGTGATTAAATATAGCGCCCTGGGTGGCAGGCTTGTACACAGTGGACAGGCATTTAAACCTAGCAAGTTTAGCCCCAGTGACACAGTGCCTACTTACTATGCTACATTGCTTCTCCAACTTTGATGGAAAGGAACAGTATCTAACTCAAAGGGTTCTGGTGGTCCTAAATGAGCTCTGTATAAACGGTTGTAGCGCAGTGCCTGGACCATAGTAAACACTTCATAAATGCTAATGACCATTGATGATGGTGATGGCAGTGTGACAGTTATGGGAATGTGATGATGCTAACAATTGTGAAGTTTGAGAAAATGTACATCCATCCTTCTCAACCACGTGTCACCTTCTTGAGGACAGGAATCCAGGACAGTGGAGTTTCTCATCCCCTGGAACTGGTGGAAAGGGAATGAAGCTCCCACCTCTTTAGAAATAAAGCCCTATAGGTCTTAAAATAAAATCCCCCCCGCTCCCCAGGAAGGGCTCCACTGTCCCTGGGTTACTGCAGAAGGGCGGGAAAGATGAAAAAAAGGAAAAGAGTCAAAGCAAGAATTTCTCTGCCCTCCTTCCCCAAATCTGACTGATCCTTCAGGCCCTGCCCTAGGTGATTACCACCACAAATTTGTCGGGTGGACCTTATTTTACAATTTACCTGATTAAGACATTAGGGCATGAAAGAGGTTAAGAAACCTGCTGAGATAGCACAACCACAACCACAACCACAACCTCTGAGCCATGGTTTCATCTAGGACCACGGTGCCATGCTGCTTGCAGTGCTCATCAGTCACTGTAGGTAGAAAATAATTGAAATAAACCTTACAGCATCCCCAAGGCCAGCATCATCACTGACTCTTCACAGCGTTCTCTCATGTGACAAATGCTTATTGAGCATCTTGTCAATACGAAGCCTGCGCTGCCTGATGGCTTCCACCAGCCCTGCCACAGACCATTCAGAAAGTGTCTGGTCAGTGGAAAGCAGGGCTCCAGAGCCATTAGCAGGATGCAGCTGTCCGGGAAGATATTAAACAAGGACACAGACTCATAATTCCCAACAGTTGGGAATCTGTTCTTTTAAATACCCTTCAGCTCCTCTTTAGTTCTCTGCAAGCAAAAATAGTTCAGTTGCCAAGAAACCTATGTGTGGTGATAACTTCGTGCTAAACAGATGTACAAATCTGTTGTTAAATGAAATTCTAAAAGATTGCTCTTTAATGCTTCAACTTATGTTTGTGCAATATAAGATGGGTTCATCATTAACACCCTAAAAATGTTTTCATGTTTAAATAATGTGAATTAAGACAAGAACACACTGATCACAGAATGCTAGGGACTAAATACTATCAATCTTATCTCAGAGACTGCATAGTTCAGTGAAGTTTGAGAAAATCGTTTCTTGGGGTGTTGGGTGGCTCAGTCGGATAAGCATCTGCCTTGGGCTCAGGTCATGATCCCGGGATCCTGGGATCGAGCCCCTCGTCCAGCTCCCTGCTC